ATATAATATGTGAGGTTTCATTGCTTCCCGACCAACCAATCATTAATAGACACATATAGTGAATCATTTAAAAATTTCTCATATAAATTTTTTTTTTTTGGACCTACTATAATCTATTAAATGACTTCTATGAAACTTGACTGTATCATTAAAGAATCGATACCATTAAACATTTTTATGAATTCATCGATTTGACCAAATTCGTTACACAATGACTGCCATCATTAACGTTAGCATAACCAACATCGCGAGAACTTTGCTCTTACTTGGGATTTGCTTTTGGCCTTGCACTACTAGAAGAGTCTCAGGGTTTAGGGACAAAGATGTCAAAACACTTTACTTTGTGATGAGTTGGTCTAGAAGGTCCTTCACTCGTCATCTTCATATTGTTAAACGTCAACAGGTTAATAGTAAAAAAACATAATAACAGTAAAATCAACCTACTTTTATATAAATTTCTTACCCTTGGCACAAAATTCAACAAGGTTGACAATTTTGGCTTACACACTGGCAGAACAAGCTATAATATATATATATATATATATATATATATATATATAATAATGTTATTAAAAGAGCGCTTTTAAAATTTTCACATTTAGTAACTCATGGTGGCGCTAAACACAGTCTTGTTAAATTATTTTACAGTGTCTCAATTTATCGACCCTTTTAATCATTTTACACTTTAAACATTGGTAAATTTTCTTCACCACGTGTGTGATTTTCTTGTCAAGCAGAAAAAATAATGAATATAAAAAACTTCTTTAAGTAGCTTATTATTCTTAATTATCATTATTATTATTATTTTTTATTTTTCAGATTCTTATTTATGTTTGTCTGACTCTTAATCACTTAGTTTAAGTTAAGCACTACCCATTGATATAGATGCGGACAAAACTCTGATTGATGTATCCAAAGATTTTCTTCTTTCCATGTGTTGTGCCCTTTGAAGCAACTCCAGCATCAAGATACACGTGGCAGTCGTACGTGTGTAATATATATATATATTATATACCATATAGAGAGAGAGTATTACGTACGTACGTGTATATATATATATATATATATTATATACCATATAGAGAGAGAATATTACGTACGTACGTGTATATATATATATATATATATTATATACCATATAGAGAGAGAGTATTACATACAAAATCGTAAAATTCCAGATTCCCCAAATGTACACACTGTAAGCTGTCATCAATCAGCGCAGAGATATGAAAATTGAAATCTGATGGCATGTGAATACCTTTGTACTACACATATGTAATTTTTTTTTTTTGTTTTTTGAGTAGGCAACGGCCTGCTTGGAGTCTGTAGTGTGGTGTGATGTAGGGCTTTAATTTCGGACAGAATAAGTGTTTTATAATGTGATGTTCTGAAATAAGAACAAAATATGTTTGGCGTGTTATAATTGTTTTGAGAATTTTGGAATAAAAATATGGTAAAACATGTTTGGTAATGTGTTTTGTTCTAAGAATTATGAGAACAAAACATGTTGGGCAAAGTGAAAGTGTAACCAAAATCAATAAAAAAAATATTATTAAATATGTCTGATAAAAAGTATTTTTAAATAATGTTTTAATCAATACATTTTTTATAATTTTATTAAATATAAAGTAAAAATTAATTATTGTATTATTTTAATATACAATTAATATAACATTATATATATATATATATATATATATATATATATATTGTTAAAAATTTATCTTAATTTATTATAAAAACCAATAAAATATATTCTAAATTTTAAAACCTATTAATATTGCATATTATTTTGACAGCATTATTTCAATATCGAACTGAAATAAACTTTCAATATATTACCCATTACATGAAATTGTATATATTACAGACATTAGTTTCATAAATATTACATCATTTGTCAACATGCACAATAAAAGTGAGTACAAAATAAAATTAAACTAATATATTACATCATTTATCAACAGCCACAATAATCAACAACAACAACATGAGAAATAAGCAGCCTGGAATATAGTTATAGTAAGACAACAACAACAACCATAGATAATGTAATTTTGCTGATTTTGTTGAGCTTGCATAACAGCAACTACATCCTCCAACTCTTCCTCCACATGACCACCCACTTGCAGATGTTGGTGCATGTTATCCACCCATATAAATGCACGAGCATGTGACTAAATCAGAACAAAGACTTGTATATTATTATAGTACACTTGTGACACACACATGTAGTTAAAAAAAAAATTATTAATTCCAAGAAAAATGTATACCTCCCAAGCTGGATATCTAAAACTCTCCATCTTCCCCATTACCAAAATCTTAAATCGCAATACATAAGAGATATATAGATACTAGTGTATTTGTTTTGTTAAAATAAGTAATTATGGAAGTTTTGACTATTAAAATGATTTGATATATTCAAACTGTATAGTTTTAGGAATTTTAAATTTATAAATTTAGATTTATGGAACACGGAAACAAGTTTGTGATTATTTTCTTTTGCTCTCACCCTTCAAATTTAGGAGAGTTTATAATTTCCTGTTTGTGTAATTATTACACTTTTTTTTTTTTTTTTTAAAACTTTCTCTTTTCATATATATCTATATAATTCTCAATAGAGAACTTGGTAATTAGAAAAGGCACATTTTTGCAAAAAAATTAGAAACCAAAAGATAGACAGAGTATAGACAAATGCTTAATAATCACTCCATATTTTTTAAAATAGGAAAACTGATGAAAGAAAATAATAATACCAATTTAATAATTTTCAAAATAAATTTAATAATACCCTAGAAAGTGTTCTGCGACTTTTTATAGTTGAGGTCAAAAGTGAGTACAAGTTTTGGTGTTTGTTCTTCCCGCTACAGTATTATGTGGGCCGATACAGTTTGGGAACAAGCAAGAACACCTATTTTTTGTTCCAACAATTGGCTCATTTTTGCCAAATGTTCCAGCACTGTTTAACACAATACCGGCCATGCCAAACATGTTTTGTGCCAGAACAGTAGAATTTTGCACTGTAGGGAAGGGAGTAGAACATGGTAGAACAATGCTCAAACAGGCCCCATAGTCCCGTCAAGACATTATCTGAGATGGTACATATTTTATCCTGCTGTGTTTTTTAATGTGTGCAAGTGTTATTTATATACCAACAAAAATAAAAATGAAAATATTAGTAAAATCATTTGAGTGATCAAAATATGGAACAGTAAAAATAATATGTTTATCAATATATGTAAATGGGTAAAAGTGAAGAAAAAAACCCAGTTTTATATGAGGAATGTGTAAATAGATTCTGATATTATTTGCTCAATTTGAAGATTGAAATATTTAAAATAAAACAACAATAATTTCAAGCAGGTATGAGAGATTATTAAGGGCATTTTTGGAATTTTAGAAAAAATTGGTCAAAATTGACAATTAACAAACATTATGGGATAATTTACACATATATATATTTTTTAATAGGCAAAAAGAGTTAAAAATTAGATTAGTAGGTGCAGATAGTCGAAACCTGACACTCTAAAATTCGCTAGAGAAATTAACCCACTAAGTTATCGAGGCATCTACATGCACATATTAACTAGAGTGTTGTAGTTTTTTTTTAGCATATTTTCATATAACAAGTTTTATTTATTTATTTTCGCACTTCATTGATATATATATGTATATATATTATGTATTAATTTCAGATGTACATATTGGTTAGTAAGAGTCGTGCAATATAAATACAAAATAAGATGCGTCAAAATCAAAGGCCGACTTTAATGAAGTGGGGCTATCTTTTCGGCTTAAAAATTAAAATGCATTCTCCTTTTTAAATAATTATTTTTTAATTGCTTAAAACTCCATGACCATGACTATGACTATAATTTATAAGATCAAGTAGATCTCTATATAAATGACAATTTGGAAGATTGCAATTATTAGCAGCATATGATTAATAACAATATAAAACATTAGTTTGATGACCATGCAATCCATATTTCAAAAACATAGAGGAAAATGACTTGCTTTTATTTTTATTGGGCTCTCAACAAATTGATGGAACTTAACAACTATTATTTTTTATTTTTTTTTACTTTTGTTAGACAAGATGAGTCTTTACTCAATTCAATTATAAATGTTCAAAAGCATGTAACATGCACTATTCTTCCATATTAAGTACTCTTAGGTAGAAACTTATAAAATTATTTTATTTATTTTTCTAACAAGTAACTCATACACACTCCTCAAAAATCCGAGTTTGCTTAACTTTTTAAAAGTTGAAAAATAAAAAATTTGTACACAGTTTTTGAGATTATTATTATTATTATTATTTTTTTTGAGAATTCAACTAAAAAAATGGATATGCTTGATTTATGAGTAAAAATTAGTTCACAATAACTTTGAAAATACACAGAGAATTATAAAAAACATATATATTAAATGTAAAAACATACATTCTTATGATTGAAATTTCTAAAAGTTAATTTTGTAACTATAGAAACAATTTTCTGTTTCCGGAAAGCAGAAAATGGAAAAATGTACAAAATTTTTTGCTTGGTTCAGTTTTTTGACAATTTAGTTATAAAAAGGTCTGATAACAGTCTTTTATAGTTATCCGAAAACTGTTCTCTATTTTTAGAGTTTCTGAAATTTTCAGAATTAGAAACTAAGCATGTCATAAAATTTTTGCAAAAGAGTTTTCAAAAAAATTTGTACACTTTTTTTATTTTGAGTTCTCTTAAAAGAAAAATTGTTTCCAAAGTGACAAATTAAGTCCTACTTTATATTTTCATAAAACTATTTTATTTGTATTACTCTGTATTACTGATACTTGAACCTTTTCAGTTCACTTTAAAAGACGAGGAAATTACCAAAAAGGTGAAGAAAGAATATTAATTACACAAAAAGTGAAGTTTTGTATTATTGCTGTAACAAAAAGGGTTAAACATAAAGTTTGAATACCCGAAAAAGGACTTGAGCATATAATTCAAAAGTATACTACTAATATTCTAGGGCGAGGAAATGAATATACATCGATGATACGCAGGGTGTGTACATCACATACACGGCGTAAAATAGCGATAATTCCTAGTGAACGGTGATGACTGAAGAGTTTGAATAACGGGCGCAAGGGAGGGCACTCCAAGAGTTCGAAATATATAAAGCGGGACACACACACATACACACTCTCTCTCTCTCTATATCTCTATATATATATAGCATTCGACAAACACACACTAGGGTTTTGGGTTCTGTTTTCAATAACTTGGTTCTTCATCAATATCTATCTGTCCCTGCCATTGTAGAGCGAGAAAGAGAGATGGTGAATCCAAGGTGTTATCTTGACATAAGCATTGGGGAAGAGCTGGAAGGGAGGATAGTGATAGAGCTCTACAGCGATGTGGTGCCCAAAACAGCCGAGAACTTTAGGGCTCTCTGTACCGGTGAAAAGGGCATTGGCCCTAATACTGGTGTCCCTCTCCACTACAAGGTCTCTCTCTCTATCTTGTTTTAGTTTTCTTTTTGATGATTCTTGACAAATACTCAGATGTCATTGCATATATGGTGAAGTTCTGGTTTTTCTTGTTTACTCTGCTATTGCGATGTTTCTTTATTGATTTTAAGGGCATAGATTTCTGTGAATCTTTTATGTTTCGATAAGTTATAGCTTAAATTTTAGTTTTCTTTTTGATGATTAGTGACAAATACTCCGATATCATTGCATATATAGTGAAGTTGGGATTGTTCTTTTTGACTCCAACATAGCGATGATTATTTATTGATTTTAAGGGCACAGCTTTATTTGGATCTTTATTTATTTATTTATTTTTTTTTCTATTTTTTTTTTTTTTGGGATAAGTTATAGCTTTCTTTGAATCTCAGCTGCAATGATGGGTTTGAATCATGGTCTTTTCAGAAATAGCATAAAGCTCTCCATGTGCGTTTGAAGTTAGTTTCTTTTCAGTGATGATGAAAAGACTCTGATTTCTTAGGTTTTAAGGAGAAAATTTGTGTTTGTTTCTTTTTATTACCTGGATTTTAATAGTATTTTAGAGATATATTCCTCTTTTGTTTTCTTTTCAGAAATAGCATAAAGCTCTCCATGTGGGTTTGAAGTTGGTATCTTTTCAAAGATGATGAAAAGACTCTGATTTCTTAGGTTTGGAGGAGAAAATTTGTGTTTGTTTTCTTTTATTACTGGATTTTCATAGTATTTTGTTTTCTTTTATTACTGGATTTTCATAGTATTTTAGGGATATGGTCCTCCTTTGTAATCTGTAATAATTCTGTTTGTTATTCGGCCATTTATTTAATTTTTATTTAGTAATATACAGATAATTTATGTGTGATAGTCTCAAAGGAGGGTCCTTTTTACTGGCTTGAATTTTTGCTGTTTGCACGCCAGATTGCAAAATTTGATATTAATGTTAATAGATACAAATTTTATTTAAGGGATAGCATTACTTTAGCATCCAAGCATTGTTGACTTTTAAGTTCTTGTATAGTTGGAACTTATTTTAGGTTCTTGTATAGTTGGAACTTTAAGAGTCTATGTGCTGATCATTTGTGTTGTGGTGGGTTGTCATTGAGTACCCACTTGATAGGTACACATTTCCCCACCATACCACTGTAGTTTATTTTTTTATGCTCGTTTTTATATTCTAGCAATATGAAATCTTGAGCTCCTCATTGATGACATAGAATGCAAAATTCAGTCTTTGAAAATTTATCTTAGTAACTTTATCACCATAAATAAAATATTGTGCATGGCATTAGATTAGGTTGGGTTGGATTTGCTAATCTCATCCAAATCCATCGTTCAGGAAGTATTTGATTTCAGGTCGAATTTAGTTAAAATTTTCTGATAAATGTTAAATGCCTTAGATCCGCGAATCTGAAATGTTGTAACTGGTGTAGGGTTTGCGCTAGAAAATCATGCAATCTAGAATATAGAATTTTAACTTCCATCTCCAAGTCCTGCTATCATTGGAGTTCATGCATTCTGTTTGGCCACTTTGAAGTTTTTGATAGGAATCTTGCTCTACCATCTGCTAATACTGCACATATTGAATTCAAAGGGTGCTTCGAAACATGTTATAATGCATTAAGTCATTCAAGGTGCAATAATCTCAGCCACTTTACTTAGGCTTTTCCTTTTGCTCCAATGTTAGCATGAGTAATCCTTTGGACTCAAGATTATCGGTGGGTTAAATGTTCTGTTTTTGTTGTTCTTATTGGTAGCAGTTCTAATTTCCTATCTCTATGGAATGAATTCGGGTGTAAGATGTTTGATCGCTTGTAGGATGAGTTGCTCATATGACTCTCATAAGATCCACAATTGGAACTTTGTAACGTAATTGCCTTTGCTTCTGCCAAAAATATAATCAATGAAGTGTGTAAAACATCTTGCTTTTCTCATATTCTTTTTCCCATTCCTTTGTACTTTGTTAGTCTTCTCTGACTATAATTAGTTTTTTCAACATTATTGGATGCCAAAATGAATTGACAAGATATACAGAGTTCATTTTTCAGGTTAACTACAAATGAAATATTAGATCTACAATGATGCTTCTTTAATTTTTTTAATGGTAACTTCCTGAATGGTTACTATTGAATATCAGTTCAGACAGTCAGTTCTATACCCTTGACACAAAGCCATCCAAATTCCAAAAGACTGAAGACAAGCTCACCTTGGTGGAAAATGCTAGCGAAAATGAAATTTCACGCCCTATATTGTTTTATTCATGAATATATATTTTCTTGTAATCTCTATAATTTTACTCAAGCCTGCTACTTGTGTGATATATTTTTCTCTGGTTACTCTCTTGTGATGGAAAATGGGCTTTTGAACTTTCTCTGACTGCGAGAAAAACTGTGGTTTTTTCATCCAAATTATGTATGGTTATAGAGAAGAACATGTATGTTTTTCCAAACCTATGTGCTTTTGTATTTCTATGATGTTTCTGTGTTGGAGAGAACTACTTATTGCTTTTCTTTCTCTTTCTAACCGTGGTGCAATAAACATTTCAGGGAGTCCGTTTTCATCGTGTAATTAAAAGTTTTATGGTACAAGGGGGAGATATTTCTGCTGGAGATGGTTCTGGGGGAGAATCCATATATGGGTTGAAATTTGAAGACGAGAATTTTGAATTGAAACATGAAAGAAAAGGGATGTTGTCAATGGCCAATTCTGGTCCTAATACCAATGGTTCCCAGTTCTTCATCATAACAACTCGCACTTCTCATCTAGATGGAAAACATGTTGTATTTGGGAGGGTGGTTAAAGGCATGGGAATTGTTCGTTCAATTGAGCATGTTACTACTGGTGAAAATGATTGCCCAACTGCTGATGTTATAATAGCGGATTGTGGAGAAATTCCTGAGGGAGCAGATGATGGGATAGCTAATTTTTTCAAAGATGGGGATCTGTATCCTGATTGGCCAGCTGATCTTGACAACCATCCTAGTGAGCTCTCTTGGTGGATGGATGCTATAGATTCTGTGAAGGGTTTTGGAAATGAACATTTCAAGGTAAGCAGCCAATGTTATTGTTTTTTCCTCACATTTAAGATTCATATTGATGCTTTAATTTTCTACAATTGAGAAATCTAGTTTTCATCTTCTCAGAGGAAAAAAAAAAAAAAAAAAAAAAAAAACCCTCACTTCCTGAATGTTAAGCTGTTGCTTTCTATGATTGTTTTTATCTTCTCCATTCCCCCTCTTGATGGATTGAATATTTCATTACTATTTTGCAGAAACAAGACTATAAGATGGCTCTTAGGAAGTACCGGAAGGCGTTAAGGTATTTGGATATCTGCTGGGAGAAGGAAGGGATTAATGAAGGTCATCTATTTGTTCTCTTAATAACTTCTAAATATATATATGGCATTTAGTATTAAGAACAATTCACCTTGGATCAGTGTGACATGATCTCATGATTTTCTATTTTGTTTTGTCTGATCTTACTGCAGATAAGAGTGCATGTTTGAGAAAGATAAAGTCACAGATATTCACGAATAGTTCTGTAAGATCTTTTGTTTCACCTCCTGATGGATAAAATCATAAAATTTAGCTATTTAACTGCGGATATCTCAGTAACACCATTTTTATTCTTTGCACTGCAATGGATTTATTGAGATTTGTGTATGGTTAAACACTTTGCCTCATATTCAAGTACAATGATATAAATTGAAAATTGGAATTTGCTTATTATGAAGAGACATCTTCATTCTCGGATCCTCTCCTTTTCTCTCAGTCTTCCCCCCTCCCTCTCTCTCTCTCCACCACTGGAAGTCATCTTTTGTGTTTGATAGACTCTTTTAGGGGCTAACTAATTTCACTTAGCAATGGCCGCTATTTTGTCTGCTGAAAATATTTATTGTGATTTTAATCTAAAGACCGCAAAAAAGAAAACGTAGGGATTTGGTAAATTTTCTTATATCAAAAGAAATCAAGCTAGAATTTGAATTCAGGTGCCATCCGGCCCATCCCTAAACATTTTAGGTGTTTAGGAGAAGACTATCTTCCCTAGTTCTTTCCATATGGTCCAGTTCTTGTAACCATTAAGTTGGATTAGGATTCACTTACTCAGTGCATACATATTTAGAAATTGCTACTGCATGGTTTCTTGACATTCTAATATCGTCATCAACAATTAAGAAAAGCCACTAAAATAGATGGATGTGAACTACTAGAATTTTTCCCCTCTGCAGGTTTTTAAAATTTATTTATAGTGGGCGGGTCAGGCAAGGGGGGCATGTGGCCCCCCTTGGGCATACATTGGCTCCGCCCCTTCTCTGAGTTTTGAGCTTCAACCCTAAATTGAGCCTGAGATCTCAAACACTCTGCCTGAACCTATCAAAAATTTTGAAGCAGGCTTGAGTTATGCCTGCCGAGTTCCTTCTCTCCATATAATTGTCTGATATTGGGCCTTGGTTTTGTTTGGGATGAGATCCTATGATTAGACTATGTCTGATATTGAAGGATTCCTGCTCGCATTCGAAAATCATACAATTTTAATGCAGTGTGGTAAATCAGGTGTTCTAATATGGTCATCCATATTTTTACAACAGAGATCTGGACCATATGGCCCTAAGTTTATGGGTCTCAATCCCAATCATTTATTTGCACCCTTTTAAAAAGTTAGCAATTATCTAACATTTTATAAATACTGAATATGTTAAGAGTTCTTATGCATGTGACTTTCAAATGAATGTGGCAAATTTGATATGCATGTTACTGTTTTTACCTGGTGATATTTATCTTTGGATATACTATTTCGTTTTAATATGGAGCTATCTTGTGTTGATATATACAACAACAACAATCAAGCCTTTTTTCCCAACTACTTGTGGTTACCTACATGAATCATATGTTTCCATTCCGCTTTATTTAAGGCCATAGCTCAATCAATCTACATGCTATCATATCCTTCCTTACTAGCTCTACCCACATTAACTTCAATGTGGACTATATCACTTTTCCTAATTGGCGCACTTAAAGGTCTTCTTTGCACATGTTCATGCCATTTTAACCGATTTTCTCTCATTTTATCTCCAATTTGTTTGACTCCTACCATCACCTGTATGTGATCATTTCTAGTCTTACCACACATCCATCTCAACATTCGCATTTTTGCCACCCTCACTTTATGCATATGTTGTTTCCTAGCTGCCCAACATTTTGTATCATAAAGTATGACTGGTCTAATAGTTGTTTGATGGAACTTCCCTTTTAATCGTAAGGAAATATGCCTATCACACCTAGATGCACTCCATTTATCCCATCCTTCCTTGATTCTATGATTAACATCCTCTCCAGTTTCTCCTTCACTATGAATAATTGAGCCTAAATAGTGAAAATGTTCATATTTTTTACCTCTTGATTCTCAGTCCTCACTACATCCTTATTTAAATTTCTAGATTTTCTAAAGTTACATTCCATATATTTAGTTTTATTTCTACTTATCTTAAACCCTCTTAGTTCTAAAGCTTCTCTCCAAACCTCCAATTTGGCATTAACTCCTTCTCTAGGCTCATCGACTAAAACAATATCATTGGCAAACCATTCTATCTATGTTATCAATGTGATTGGCCCGTTGAACTTGTTCCATGGAACATTTTTATTCTGTTTTGCTTTTTCTATGGTAAGTGTTTATATTACATGTTTTCAGATAGCCTTTTCCTTTGTTTTTCATCACCTCCGCTGTAGGCTTATAAACTTGTCATTTGGTGCCCAACCATTCCCAATATCGATAATGTTTCTGTTATTAAATTAATTTATGCCTGGCATGTTTCTCTAGGCCTGTAAATTGAAATTGGGGGACCTGAAGGGAGCACTGTTGGACACGGATTTTGCAATGCGTGATGGAGAGGACAATGTGAAAGCCTTGTTTCGCCAAGGTCAGGTTGGTATCTTTCATCAATTAGAATTTATGTGCTAGGAGGCTCATATTTTTTCTTTTCCCCTTTCTTCCCCTTTCTTTTCTCTCTACCGGTCTCGAAACCTTGACCTAGAGATTGGGATGAAGACCCCAAGCCACTAGGACAAAGGTTGACCAGTGAGGATCATATTTTCTCTCAATCACACATTTTTCCATACTAGCTAGCCAACCTCTGAGGAATTTTTTTTACTGAGTTGTATTTTGTCGGTTTCTTTGCATCAGCTTTTTTCTTATCTGTGATTCTTATGCTATGTTGTTTCTCCAAACTTTTCTATAATTTTTATTTTATAGATTTTGCAATAGTGTGCTTGAGAGAAACTTGTTGTGCATGGGTTTAATTTCCTTGTTTTTGTATTAGCAGCTTTCACATAGCTGCTTTGGTGAATTCTTTTTCATTCTCAATCTCTAAAAATTGTACCAAGTGTATGTGTGAAATATGCTTGATAAAATCATACCATGCATGTTCTGCAACAATTTCCATTTCTCGAAGAGGACTGGGGACCCAAATCATTCAACAATATAATGGGGAACTAGGTTGAAGGATTTGACATTTGCTGGTTTAGGAGCTGCTGCTGTAGACATTACCTTGTTGTTACATGTTTATGAGGCAGCACTATGGTTTGATGATTTGACATAGTAGTGATTTTAAAGATGCAACCCCTGGTGCCCTCAAGGCATTTAAGATATTGATAAAATCCACTTTGGCATCTCACTGCAGTACACCCTTCTAGCTGCATGCTTCATTTATAAAATGTAGGTACGTTCTCGTCTCGGTTGATGACCAGGCAAGAAGGCCCAATTTGGAAATATCAACACAATGCGGTCTCTCCCTCTTTCTCTCTCTCATCAGGGCATAATGCAAGCGACCCCATTATTTCTATGTTATTTAGGGAGCAAGTATTTTACTACTATCATTAACAATATATTACTCATACTAATATTTTATGATCTCAAATTTTTTTCTTAATAAACTTGTGTTCCCAAAAATATTTGTAATATTCAGCGGGTAAGTCGTACTAGTATTTTAAGATTTCAAAATTTTTGTTCTTCATAAACTTGTGTTCCCAAAAATATGTGTAATATTCAGCAATGGTTATAGTCCTTGCCGCAAGCTCCCTTCTGCTTGCAGGTGTTATGGGTTGCATACTGTCTTGTGTAATAGTTTCTTGTCTTAATGTTTGCTGTCCTATTGCTCTGTCAGGCACACATGGCACTTAATGATATTGATGCTGCTGTTGAAAGTTTCAAGAAGGCATTGGAATTGGAGCCAAATGATGGTTAGTGACAATTTGTGAGCATGAATTACCTACATATATGATGCTTAATTATTGCACAATCAATTCTTAGGTTTTTCTGTTTTGATTCTACTGTGTATATGAAATTCTATTTATATAACAAGCAGTGGATATTTGTGAGGGATGGATTTTAAAATCTTGATCTTACCTTCTACATTGAACACTAGTATTTGTTAATTAGGATTTGTACTTCCTGTCAAACACACTTGGAGATTAGAGATGCTTTTTCGAACTCGTTGAAACTTGATAATTGACTTGACTTCTGACATCTTTCAGGCGGAATAAAGAATCAGCTTGCTGCTGCAACGAAGATGGTTAGGAGAATGTATTTAGTCTTAAATTGCTTGTGCCAATAAATACTTTTTGTCAACTAAATTTCATTATGGGATTGGTACAGATTAACAACAGACGTAATAAAGAGAGAGAAGCATACCGTAAGATGTTCCAATAGCAGCTGGGTAGTCCCGTGGTATGTTTGGTACCTCATAAATTTTTTTGTCTCATGTTCTTGTAATTAAAGTTGGCTACTGATTTGGCTTCTATAATACAGGCTGCTGGTATCTCATGGATAAAATACATTTCATTGTCATGCAATTTCATAGTTAGAGTCAACTGGTTCAGGCTTTTTGTGTTTTAGGCACTAATTATCTGGATGGGCATCAGGTAATTGAGCTTTCCCTGTGGGTCTTTATAAGCCATGGGGACTAGAGGATACAGTGTTATACCTTGTTTTCTTTGGTGGGTGGGGTGAGTTTGATCATTTCTGCTAGTTCTTGCCAGATTGTGCCTTATTTGTAATACTCTCGAGGCTTTCGAGCATTTTGTTAATTTTCTGTTTTTTTCAGTTTTTTTTGTTGTTGTTGTTGTCGTGTATCCTTGTACCAGTTTGTACTTTCACAACAAAATCGACTTTTTAAATATGGATATTTCTGTTACTGAACAGTTTATATTTTGGTGTATGAATTGTTTGGGACAAAGTAATTGTTTTTAGAATTTTATTATTATTTTGTTGCTTTGTCACACTATTTCTTGATTGATTTTCTTTATTTCTTTTTCTTCATTTGCATCTCAGGTTTTGTTGGGAGGGCAAAGAATATAAAGCAGATCTGGTACCAGCAAAACAAGTCTGCAAATCTTAGGCCTGAGCCAATTTTTATCAATTAGATAAATCACTTTTGTAGTTGAATTAGGAAATGTAGCATCGGCAATTCAGAGATGGCTAAAACTGTTGGAATTTCTATTTTGATGAAATCTTCTCCGCTCATCAAAATCCAATTTTCTATTTCGGTGATAATTTCTTGTCTTATGGGGCATAATATGGAGAATTTCGACTTCCTAAATTTTTTTTTATGGTGATTTATTGTTCTCTTAAACTGCCATTGGCTCATGATCAATCACATGTGGTATTGAATTTGGTTCGAACTTTTATTTATTTATTATTATTATTATTATTATTATTATTATTATTTTGCAGCACAAGTATAAATGTGAGTTTAATATGTATTGATGCACTTGTTTTAAGCCGCAAAATGATTTTTTTGCGTGTTAAGCTTCCGTGAAAACATCAATCAGGGAGACTACTCTACTACTACGTGTATTGGTTATTTAAAAAAAAAAAAAAGAGTTTATAATGGTTGATTGATAATGATGTTACAAATTAGTCATCACTGCATCACCCCATTCCATTGCTGTTTGAATGGTTGTTTCTTACCCAACTTTTAATATAATTTTATTAAGGGGACGGACTGCTGCTTTGTTTTGACCTTGTTTTGATGGATGGAAAATGAAAGCAGAAATTGAAGACTTTTTTTTTTGAGTCGATCAACTCTTAAAACACTCATTGCGGTGCTTATAAATGGGTGACTATTGTTTTAACATGAAGCTAGATTATGAAATTTAGGTCCGTTAAATTATTTTGGATAATCTATTGAAATTTTGGTAAAATAAATGGGAGATAAAAGAAATGATTTGGTAGCATTAGTTAAAATGAATAATGTTATCAATTCATTATGTTCTGTTAACTAAGAGAAATAGCGGTAACTTTTTTTAAGAAAGAAATTACAAACTATCTCTGCCTTTTTATTCATTCTTTCCACTCCATCGAGCTGTGATACAATATATTTAACCGAAGTTGAAGTTTCATACAACAAATATATATTTTTTTTTCCTAACTCACTCATTTATCTCGGTCAAAATGTAACTCCACCAAAATCAACTAGAAAACAAAGAAAAAAATAATAATAATTTTTTTAAAAATTTGAATAAGGTAAAAGAAAAACGTATTGAAAAATTTAATTTACTTCCATGAAAGAAACACGAATTTTTATACGATAATCCTTTTTTACTCCAAACTTAGTCTAAGTTATAAGGAAACACCTTACTTAATGCACAAAGACATCTCTTCTCAACTTTATGCAATTAGCTAGAAAAATAAATTTTCTGTTTGGTAGGAAGGAAAAATTGAATTGAACTTAAGGTAACCCCACCAAATTAAAGCTCTTTATTAAGAAGAAGATAATAAATCCTCAATTATTACATCAGTAAGCCAATTAGGCCAAATCTGCCATTCCAGATCACTACACTCTTGACTTAAAGCTCATTTGCTCACCCGATGAGCAACCTTGTTACATGATCTAGAAATCCAAACAAAAGCCAAATTTATATTTTCCTTTAGCATCACTTGGATATCTTCAAGGATAGTCATGGTAAGAGAGACAACAGGGTTAACCCCATTGACGTAATAACAGTAAACCTTCTCTAGCAACCGAAGCTTCGATCAGCTACCTCTGCACTTCCAACATCATGAAAAAATACAGAAGCAACCTTCACAAGGAAACTCACATGATTACGAAGAAAAAAATCCCCCACCGCAACATCTAATTGAAGAATAAAAAAAAGCTGTCCACATTCATTTTAAAACGACCAACAGCTGGAACTTTCCATCCGCTAGATAGAGAAACATGTTGAAGCAATAAATTTTCAGTAGGAACATCAATTGAACTACTTTCTTGGAATTCATTAAAATAGAACACGGCCTTTTCCATGACTTCTATAGGACCCAACACAAAATGGAAGTAAGACGTAATAAACGATTTGAAAAAACTGAAACAACATCAAATTTTTAGAAGACCAAAAAATGGGATAGACAAATTTTTTTTTTTGAAAAAAATAACTGTTGGGAAATTTGGTACTCTAGTTGTTTTTTTAATAATTTTATATAATCCAAATCATTATCCACAATGTGAGAGTGAAAAAAAAAACTGTTTGGAAATTTGGTACTCTAGTTTTTTTTTTATTTTTTTATAATAATTTTATATAATCCAAACCATTATCCACAATGTGAGAGACTGAAGGATTCGTGATAATGTACGTTTCTCAACAAAATATAATTTTGACTTTTAAGTCCTAACTCATTCATCATGCATTATCCTCTGCATTGTTAAATCAAGAGTGTAACACACTATATCAGACTACAAGAAGTTAGTCACATCTGCAACACAAATGAAAATGCTTTGAATTATACTAAAGAATTACTTGGTGGTGATGGCAAATAAATAGGATAAGCGTTTTACAATCAACCATGATCTGTACACATGTAACCTATCTAATGGTGGGAGATTTGTTATAGAATACTCTAATATATATATTTATATGATAGTTACAAGGTTACTATTAAAATATTTTAGATAATAATGCATGTCTATATAACTCATGAGAATTTTAGAATGTATTGCTATAAAAACTATCCATATCATCCTCCTACATGGTGTATGTGTTCAATAACTTTTAGAGGCGGGCCTTGACAATAATGTTCACTAGTGATGGAAATTAATATTTTGTTGGAAGACTCAATCATGAAACTATTATGAGTTTTTAAATGTTTAAAAATGTAATTACTCAAAATTAGTCTTAATGAGAGTTAACTAATGGTTGATTGATTATGATGCTATAAATCAGTCATGACCGCATCACCCCCATTCTATTACTACTGTATTACAATGGTTATTGGTTACCCAACTTTTCTTCCATCAGTAATTTATTTAATAAAAGATGCACTGCTGTTCTGTTTTGACCAACTTAAAGCTAATAAAAAAGTTTTTGTGTGGCCGTTTGAAGTCATACAAATTGTTTCTTTGTCTTGAAGACGAATTTTTCAGTAGATTATGAAAGTTAGGTCAGTACCATGATATGATCAGCTGATACTTAAATTATTTTGTGATAAAATTCCTCTATATTCTATAAAAAATTTGATAAATTAACAGCGCAGTTCCAGATAAACAGGGGAAAAAGAAAGAATATGGCAATATTAGTTATGGCTTGTGAGATAAATGAAAGAAAAAACATGCAAGTATAATGTTAAGTTGTTAACTCATTGTTTGTCCTAATTAATCTCTAAGGATTTAGAAAGGGCGTCTCCCCACATTAGGTCGAGTAAGTTGCGAAGTATGACCGTGGAATTGTTTGCAGTCAATGAGAGTCGAACCTCAAACTTAATACTTTATGAGACATCAGGGCCGAGTTAATACTTGGCCACTGAGCCAACCCCTTTGGGTTCAAAGGCATATTTGTTGGTGTGTGGGAAAACCAAGAAAGAAGAAGTGAAATAAGGAAGACTCAAGTGGTGGACTTGGAATAAGATGAACAAAACTGCAAAAGCTTTTTACATCATATTTTTTCCCTTACATACCAACCCAACTAGAAAAAGGTTTTACCTATCCCTCATGTGTCACATTTCCCTCTATCTATAAAACCCAATAACTCATACTCTCATTCTCATCAGTATCCAATCTCAAAAATACTTTCTCAAGATTCCATTTGAGCACTACTTGAGAAATGGAAAAGGGTTTCGGGTATGCATTAGGACTCATCCTACTTTTAACTGCTTCTATGCGGGCAGTTGCTACAGCCAACAAGCACATCACAAAAGGGACAAAACATTGGAGCTATGGCTTCAACTACACTGACTGGGCTTCCAAACGCCTGAATACTAGTGCTGATTCCAAAAGGATTGTTGTTGGTGGATCCGAAAAGTGGCATTACGGCTTCAACTACTCCGATTGGGCTATCAAAAACGCCCCCTTTTACCTCAATGATACATTGGGTATGTCAACATTATTCATTATCATACACCCTTATGCTCTATATCATGCTTAGTGCGTGTGTTACAAATTACAATATCACGACTTGCCAGTTGTGTAGTCGACACTGTCCATTTTGCACACTCTTTACAATTTTCAAAACATGCCAGGCATAGTTAGGAGGGGGTATTCAAGCAGTTAAGTGCAGCAACCTCTCCCCTGGACTAGATGTGGGACATCACATATTGTCAATAAATTTAATTCATACAAGTATCTGAAAAGGGTTTGCAAGTTTTAGCAGTGCAACGTTTCACTGCTTTTGCGTAGTTTGATTATTTTCCTTCACTATGATATGATTTGCTTCTTTCAAGAAACTAAAGAATTACTAACATTTTGTGATGTTGTTTTGTTTTTGTTTGTTTTAGTATTCAAGTTTGATCCACCAAATGGTGGTCCTACTTCATTTCCTCACAGCGTTTACTTGCTACCCAACTTTTGGAGCTTCTTAAACTGCGATCTGAGAAGAGCAAAGCTGGTGGCAAGCCCGACACAAGGAGGGGGCGAGGGATTCGAGTTTGTGCTGAAGAAGTGGCAGCCTCACTACTTTGCTTGTGGTGAACATGATGGTTTGCATTGCAAAAATGGAACCATGAGGTTTTCTGTGTTTCCACTGATTCATCGTTGGCATGTCTGATACTGAAGAGCTAAACCTTGGGAAGAAGCAGTGTTGTTTGCTGATTTTCTTTTCATAGTGCGGTTTCTTCAAACAAATAACAATGCATTTTTATTTTTATTTTTATGAGAGATTTCTTAGCTAGTAAAGATTAAGAGACTGAATAAAGTTCATATAGATGAATTGTAACCATTCATTTACACAGCTAGACATGGATTTTGTAATAGATTAAAGATATTCAATTAGCTTCCTTTTCTGTTGGAGTTTCGAAAGGGTTCATAAACTTTGCAGGGTTTGTAATGCTTTTTACATAAACTTTGCAAGGGTTTGTAATGCTTTTTACATTGCATAATGTTGTACTTGGTACGTTGAAATTTATTCTTTCTTATGTTGCTTGTGAATGTTTCTCTTAAACATTTCCTTATCCCACTTTGATTAAGAGGTCATTTGTTTGATTAAGAGGTCATTATTAAGGAAATAATGGGTTATTTTGTAGACATCTTTTAATTAAATAACAAATTAGATTATGTGGCATATGAGTTCCACTAATACTCTTTCAGTGAACACAAATTAATTATTTTACAGCAATTCAAATAAAAATTGTATACGGTTTATAAAAAATTGGCCGGAACTTTTGTTCTAGAATTAAAAATAGGGTGAACTACATTAAACCCTTCTTTTTTATTTGCATTTTGCACTAAACCCCCTTTTCAATTTTTTTGCAAAAAAAAAAATCCTCAACTATCCGAGGGGGGTGATTTAACTAACGGAAGTTAGCTGAAAGGGAACTAAAACAGAAATTGACTTAAATAAATACTCAATAGGTCTTTTTGAAAATTTACTTTGTGGGCGTGTCTTATTTATTTATTTTTATTTTTATTTATTTTCTTAGTTGGTACTCACACACAGAATAATAAAAAAAGGATTTTTTTTTTTTTTTTTTTTTTCCTAGTTGGGTACTTACACACACATGTCTCCACTGAGGCTCGAACCCTTAACCTCTCTTTGAGAAGTAGGAGCTTGGTACCGTTAGGCCACTGGCCAGTTGGTAAAAAAAAAATAGGTATTAATTCTCATAATAGTAGAAGATGAATCCCTTTAAAAAATTTGTATTAAGTGAAAATTAATTAAAAAAAAAACCAAATAAATAAAAGCACAATATAAATTTCAAGAAAAATCAAGATTTATATAGGTAAAAATGTAAGTATAGTAAAAACAGTATTTAATGGTACATATTATATATACCTGTAATGTTCCTGAATTTTGTCATTTTCTAAATTCTGGAATTTTCTGATTTTCAGGGGTATTTTATTCTCTTTCTCGTTTTGCGTGCCGGACATCGTGGGGTGTGTTGGCTGTGTTCGAGAGTTGGGTGGGACATTTCCCTGAGTTCAGGACTTTTGGAAATGCATCGATTGTCATCTCGACTTTTCTCTGTTTTTCGGGTCGGATAGTCCCGGGTGGGACCCGCTACCGGAGTCGTTGTGTATGGGAATTTTATCTTGGGTTCATTGCATACTATACATCATTATTTTGTACATATTTAATGTGGTTGTGTGCCATTTTGTATAGATATATGCATATATGCGTGTGTAGTGGGAAATAGAAGGAAAAAGAAAAGTCAAAAAGAAAATTTTATAGTGGGACCTACTATTAGAGATTTTTGTGATTTAGAGACCAACATTGGCCTCATTCTCCTTCTCTCACCCGGCATTAGCTCTCTCTCCCTCTTTCCTCTTCATTTTTCTTTTCTTTTTGGCTTCAAGCTTCAATCTTCAATTACTTTTTCATTTCTTGGAATTTTTGGGCGCCGTTTGCTGCAAATCAAAGAGCTTTTTGAGACCTACGCTTGGATAGGAGCAATTCACACTTTTGGCCATCCTAGGAATTTCGAAAATCAGGGCTTTGGTTTGGAGTTTTGGGGGTTTTCATCTCTATTGAGGTAGGGGTGTTCTAATACATGAGTTCTTATGCCATTTGTAAGTTAATTCTTTATAAATTGTTGAATTGCATGTTTAATTACTTTAAGTTCTTGCAAATGGTTTAAATGATAGATATGGAATATATGTGACTAATTGTTAGTTGTTTTATAGTGTTTAAACATGTTTACATGAGAATGATTCCATGTCTTATATGCTTGTTAATGCTTGTTATGCAAAGTTATAGTTAAATGAGAACTTTAATTATGTAGTTTGGAAATTTGTTTTATATAGCATGTGTGAGAGTTTTATGGTGGAATTGACGAATTGAAGTATAAAACATTCCATGCATTCATTGGGATAAAAAAACGGAAAAAATGTCTTTAAAACAAGTGAAATTGTTTTGGGAAAAGTTTTCTAAAAGTGTTTGCGAAAACCCAGACGCCTAGGAGGCGCCTAATGGTTCGTGGTGTTAGTGTAATCTAAAGGGGAGTATGGTTGAGCTAACCAGGCTGGATGCGACGCCTTGGAGGTGCCTTGTGGTTGTGGATGGTTAGTCAATCCTCCTTTCGTGACGCCTTGGAGGTGCCTTGGGTCGAATTACGCTAATGGTTTGAAAGTTGAAACGAAAATGTTTCGAATATGGGGAACAACATTTGCATGACATTACATTTCATTAGAATATATGGTGTGTATGTGTTTGGGTGACAATTGTTGTATACTTGTCGCTGTGGTTGTTACTATTTATCCCTATACTATGATCCCGTTTTCTTTTATCTATTCCTTACGTGGATTCATGGGGTCATAAGAAGTGTGTCTTAGACACTTCCCACTGAGCGTTTAGCTCACCCCATTATTTTAACATTTTCAGGTTTGGGAAAAGAAGTGGCGGGCGACAATCCTCCACAGTCTTAGTTGGATTAGAAGAATGTATCTTTTTGCTACCTTTTGTATTAGGCCTCATTTTATAAAGTGTTGACCCAAATGTATCATTTTGTAGCATGTGAAATATTTAGATTCATTTTGTATATGGCCATTGGGGAAATGTAATTATGTTTATTTACACTAAATCATTTAGTGTATTTCATGTAACGTGTTGTAAATTACGTCAACGTTGTTGTTGTTGTTAATGTATTAGATGTCAAAATGTATTTACATATGTACGTGGGTATGGTGTGTAGAGTGGTTGGTTATCAATGTTGGTGTATCTCGGACAGTGGAAATTTCAAGTGTGGATAACCCAGAACCAGCTGACGTAAAATTCCCATACGAGTCGATCGGATAACCTAAACCAGTCGACGTGTAGCTTCCCACATGTCGACCGGTATCTTGGCAGTGGGCTTTCTACTATGCACGTCCCAAACCAGTCCCAAACCAGTCGACGTGTGATCCCATACATCGACCGGTTCTGTGTAGTAAACATTTGTGACTTATTTTTCCATTTTGCCCTTGACCACTTACTCAAGTGTATTGTTACACATTATAAGACTCAGTAAAATGCAATAATTATATTTTAACCATAGAGAAAACGATATTGCCCGGAACCTTATCTTATTTATTATGTGACTCAAGTAAATGACTATTATGCCCTTGAGTCTTCAACCACTAGAGTTGTGACAAATGACCTTGTTATCCTTATTGGACTTTTAAAATATTAGTTTAACGTGAAAGGACCGTATTACCCTCGGATGATTTTGGGTTGGACGAAATCCCATTTAATGATCCGGACCCAGTGGATTCGGGTCATTACAAATTTGGTATCAGAGCGATGATTCGAATACCATTTGGATGATTGGTAGAGCCCTACATAGGATTGCATGGGGTGTTAAGTATTTGTTGCTTGCTTAATTGCTTATGTGATCGCATGCCAATATATTTATGTGTTAAGGTGTTTAATCATTTGAAAAACATGCTTAATTGTTTAACTGTTTATATGATTGCGTGCTAAGTGCTTAACATTGTTGTATATTATTATTAGCATGATCATGCTTATCATTGGTGGAATTTCTTTTCCGGGAGTATGGAAAGTGTTTAAATGTTGTCATTTCTTGTAGATTCAATTGTGTGAGGACTCCATTCTTGAACGCGTGTATGTGCCATCGTTTTTTATTCGTTCTCTCGTTTTATAGCGTCATGCCACCAAGAAAGGATCTCGGGGAAAGTTCCAGCTCCAATCCCACGGAAAGGGATGAGGAACAGGTTGAGGAAGATGATATCTTGTTACGTGATTTGGTCCCACCAAAAGGGGAACAAGCGAGGGGGACCGTTGATCCACCTTTTCAGATAAATGAGGAACAGTTGCAGTTGACCGTTGAGGCAACTCTTTTCAAAGCATTTCGACCGGCAAGAGTGTAATACCCCTAATTTTAAAAGGATAGTCTCGTCATTTATTTATTATTTTTATTGTATTTTTGCGTGATTATTTGGTTTAATTATTTTTATTTATTAATTTTATTTAATTGTTTACCTATGTGACATGTATTTAAATTGAATTAAGTAATCACTCTTTTATTATTTAATTGGCATTTATTGTTAAGTGTTTTTAATTGTTTAATTGAGTTATTTAATTGGAATTAATTGGTTAAGTGTATTTAACTGTTTAATTGAATTTTTGTTAATTTAATTATGGTTTAAGTTACAGTTAGCTCTAGGTTGCAATTCACGTATAGGTTAGCTGCAATATGGTAATAGAGATAGGTTCATGGGCCGACTAGGCTTAGAGTTAGGGCTCTGACTCTAATTGAACATGGATTAGGGTTTAGGATTTTTATGCCTATATATATAAGGTTATAATCTGTATCAAGGGTTGGAAAAACCCTATTCACGTACCAAAGATACAGAGAGAGAAATAGAGAGCAGTTGTGGGAAAACAAAGTGAGGCTTAAGAGGAATTGTACAGAGAGGACCAAGGAGGCTGAGTAAAGATTAGAGACGGAGTTATAGGAAGCTTGACGGCGTTCAGAATTGCCGGAAAACTTAGAGACGACACAGGGATTTCATAATTGAAATCACAGGCAAGTTCTTCTCTTTCTCCTTCTCTTTGGCTCGTGTTTTGTGCACCTAGATAATCTCTAGGGTTTAATCAATCAATAACTGGAAGATATATGTTTAATATATGTCGTATGAATGATCTGTTTATGTTGAAAACCATTCTGTTACAGTTCATGCATGGCTCGTTATAGTTTTCTATTCTTTATGCATGTTGCTTTGTTGTAACTCTAGTTTTTGGAATTGTTTTTAATCTCTGTGAATGAACCACGGGGATGTTATTGGGATTGATATAAGTTCCTTAGTTTCAGTGGTGAAGAGAAACAGAGGGTTTGGTAGTGAACTGAAATTTTCTTCAACTTATTCCAGTGTTGTTTTCCAAGCATGCTAGTTTAATGGTTTTGTTTAAACTCTGTAATTGTTTTCAAATTTATTGTAAGCAACCTTGGGGATGCTTCTAGACTCAATTAAGACTCTTTAGTTTAGTTTTAGAAACCAACAGAGTGGCAGAAATTGATAAGAGAGGGAACAGACGGACTGAAACGAAGCAATGGGGACAAAGGCTCTCAAAGGAGGTGAGAGCCGGCTCCATGGATGTGGGAGTCGACTCCCATAACAAGTAGAGCCGGCTCTAAGGACTCCTAGAGCCGGCTCTAAGGACTCCTAGAGCTAACTCTAGGCTGAAAGACCTTAAATTGATTAAGGTTTAATTCTAAATTTTCGGGACAAACAGTGTAAAAAATAAGGCACTTCCTATGTTGTTAACAAATGGAAGATAAATTAATTGCTGAATTAAAATTCAGCAATTTGATGGAATGTAATGTGTTTATAAAACTTATTTTTAAATGCATTCAAATGCATGATAAGGTCATTTAATTATTAATTTTGATTTATGCATGCTTAGGATGCTAGTTGCTGAATTATTAAATCGTTTCCTGCAACTATATGGTTAATGCTTGAATTTAAATTGATGAAACATTAAACAATCTTCTGAAATTGTTTTAGCAAATTATTGGAAAATAATAGGATTATTTAACCTATTCACATGCATGATGGAGTCTTTGACATATTAAATTTGGTCTATGCATACTCTGAATGTTAGTTGTTGATTTATTAAATCGTCTCCTGCAACTATATGGTTAAATGCTTGGATTTAAATTGCTGAAACTTAAAATATGTTTCTGCAATTATTTGGATGGTGGTTTTGGTCCGTAAATTATTGAACTGTTATATATGTTGTAATTTACATGGATATGGGGGATTGTATGTACCGGTATGGGACGGTGACATACTAGGGACGGTTTAACTGAAAACGCATAAACCTAACCTAATGGATTAATGAAATGGATTGAAAGATATCGAATCCTAATTGTGACTAAGTCAGATCAGCTGTAACCAAGTTGGATGACTTCCTGGATTAACGGATGGTAGTTAAGTCATATCAACTGAATAAGTTGAGTGACTAACTAGTTGGTTTATTGTATGTCAGTTTAATAAATAGTTGAACTACATACCCTGGATTTGGACGGACTTTATATATATGGTTATGGTACCACGAGTTGAGCTTGAGTCTCAGACTCGTTGGTTATGGTGCGTATATGCGGAGGATGCGTAGCTGGTTATAATAGGTTGAGGTGTACCCTGTTAGGTCTAGGTACTCATGCCCACCTTTGGGTGCGTATTCGCATGTTACTTTCTATTCAGGTTGAGACCCCTATTATAGACCAGTGAATGTCCCTTAGTGTGGATATATTTATATGTATGGACTAGATAGATATTGTGAGGTGTCTACGGTGTATCTGCGTATCGGGTCACTGTATGGATTGCAGTTAGATTAGAACTTACTCGTGAGCTTGACCCACTCCTTCATTATTCTTTTCAGGTACAGGACCATTCCAGCCTTAGAGCTTGATCGTGCTTGTCGAGGACAGTCTCACATTCATCTGATTACGTTGGACTTCTCTCGATGTTTCTAGCATTATCTATTTTCAGGTTTCAATTTCAGTTGAACTTTTGGTTAGGGGTCCACCAGTGGATTCCCAAGTTGTAACCTTGAAGTTTTGGAGGATTGGAGTTTCATTTTTTCAGTTATACATGGAGGGTTTTATTATTATTATTTCTTTCAACTTTATTCTATCTTTATTGTTTTTTTTGTCTTCTGTGTTCGTTTTAAAATACTTTAATTGTTTGATATTCCCCCGGGTTTGGGCCTGGGCCTGATCAACCCGTGTCTCGGATCCAAGGGGTATCACTGTTGGTATCAGAGCACTCCAGGTTCAAGTGTCTCTAGGACGTTTCGTATTAAGACTTCTGCGTGGCGTTTTTTTTTATAGAGCTTATGTTTAGGATTCGTCGTAATCCTTTACGGTTTGTTTAGAGGTTACTGATGTCAAGTTTATTCTGTAATTGCAGAATGTTTGACACTAGGAGGAGGATGAGGGCCGCGATGAAAGCAAAGAAGGGCTCAAGGCCGAGGAAGGTTACTTCGGTAATTCCCCTACGAAGGCCAATCAAGAAGGCGAAATTGGAGACCAAGGAGTTAATTCCAATAGGCGTTGCTTCGGAGTACAAGTCAAGGAAAGTTTCTTGCGTGCGGGATTGGCCACCATACTGTGGACCTAACACAACTTCGGTGGTGCTTGAAGTTGAGCTAAGCGGAGAGGAAGACCCCGAAGAAGATCAGGATGGAGGAGATACCGGAGCATCCGAGATAGAGGGCACCGAAGTTCAAGGATGACTGTTCTTTTAAGAGTACTTTTAATTACTAGTAGTGGAGGAGGTATTAGTAAGAAGATAGTATGGATTTAATCACGTATATTAGGATTATGTTAAAGAACACCTTACGGTTATTTGTTTGACAGTTTTGGTTTGAAAAGTTCTTAATAAAGTAAACTTGTGGTTTTGGCTATCTCAATTTTTGTTTATTGGAAGTTGTGTTATGATGTATACATGAATAGTTTTATTAAACTGTATTGGAATGTGTACGTTGCGATAAGGAGAGGAAGTCAGTCACAGTAAGGTTATTGGTTTTTTGGCTAGCAAACAAAGTTTTGCTTATAGGTTCATTGTCTTGAAATAGGATGATTACCAAGGAGTTATAAAAGAACTTGTGTAAACTCAATATGGTAGGTTTGGTATAGAAGGAAGATTCTCAAAATAGAGTGACGTTCTAACTCTGAGTAGATTTCAGAGTATTTTATTTATTTTACGTGTTTTGAACCGTTGGGATTTAGGTTGGCGACACAGGTATGCAATAGACCTCAAGGTATTTCTACACCTTTTTGGCAATCCTACCATTTTACATAGGAGGATGCGCCTGTGACACTAGATATTGGTAGAGTCAGATTTCTAACAAATCTTTTGGTCCTGGACATGCACACGTATGACGTGATACTTGAGATGGATTGGTTATCACTGCCATGCTCAAGTTATTTGTGTTGGAAAGGTCAATTGTGTTCACCATACCTAGTCAGGATATTTTACGTCATTGCTATGCCACGCTCTAGCGGGGACAATAGTACCTATTTGTTTCGGGTAGAGTAGGAGACGGAGGAAGGGATTACTGTATCTTTGGATAACATAACAATTGTATAGGATTTCCCGGATGTATTTCAGGAGATTCCAGGGTTGCCACCTAGTCGTGAGATTGATTTTGTGATAGACTTAGCTCCAGGCACTACGCCTATTGCTAGGGCACCTTATTGGATAGCACAGGTGGAGATGCGCGAGCTGAGGGATCAGATTCAGCAGCTACTCAGCCAGGGTTTCATTCGCAGGAGTACTTCACCCTGGGGAGCACCAGTGTTATTTGTGAAAAAGAAGGATGGTTCGCTCCACTTGTGTATAAATTACAGGGTGTTGAACAAGGTTACGATTCGTAACAAGTATCTTTTGCCCAGGATTGATGACTTGTTTGATCAGTTAAGGGGAGCCACATACTTCTCCAAGATTGATCTGCATTCTGGGTAGCATCAGTTGAGGGTTAGGGAGCAGGATGTTCCTAAGACAGCGTTTCTCACGAGATATGGTTCTTATGAGTTTCGTGTTATGCCGTTTGGGACGACTAATGCACCTACAGTGTTCATGGACTTAATGAACAGAGTCTTCCGGGCTTATTTGGATCAGTTTGTTATTGTCTTTATTGATGACATCTTGATCTATTCTCGGTCGAAGGACGATCATGCTCGACATCTTCGCATAGTCTTGCAGACGCTTCGTGAGCACCCGTTATATGCCAAGTTCGAGAAGTGTGAATTTTGGCAGTGGGAAGTGAAGTTTTTGGGTCACGTGGTGTCAGAAAGGGGGATAGCGGTTGATCCAGCCAAGGTTTCAGCTGTGGTAGAGTGGGGTCAGCCTACTTCACCTAC